GCTAGCGCAAAACAAGCTAAACTGAGGTCCTCCATCCATATTTTAATAAAATTTTAATGAGTTTCTTTCCTCCAACAGGAACCACGGTGCCCCCTCAGGCCACGCTGGTRTTCGAGGTGCACATGGTGGACCTGTTCAATCCCAACGACAACGTGACGTCAGAGCTGAAGGARGCCCCTGAAAGCTGCCCCCGAAGGACCGTGGCCGGAGACTACATCCGCTACCACTACAACGGCACCTTCCACGAYGGCACGCCCTTCGACTCCAGGTAAAAGACGAGCTTCGCAGGAAGCAAACGGTGTTTTTTTTTTTTTTTTTTAAGATTTGTGTTGGCGCTTTCTTCCGCAGCTACCAGCGGAACAGCACCTACAACACCTACATCGGGATGGGCTACGTGATCCGGGGGATGGACAAAGCCCTGCAGGGCCTCTGCATGGGGGAGAAGAGGAGGATCGTGATCCCTCCTCACATGGCGTACGGCGAGGAGGGAGCCGGTGAGTTTGACGCCGGCGTTTGGGAGCTTTCGACCTCGAAAGTAAAACKTTCCWTTGACAGTTTTGTTCTTCCTCCTCCGGCTGCAGGAAAGTTGATCCCCGGCTCCGCTGTGCTGGTTTTTGACGTCCACGTCATCGAYTTCCACAACCCGGCAGATCCCGTCCACATCAGAATCACCCACAAGCCTCAGGACTGCGGCGCCGCCAGCGAAGCCGAGGATCTGATCCATTACCGTTACAACTGCTCCCTGATGGACGGCACGCTCCTGTACTCCTCGTGAGCGCCCCCTGCTGTTCACTCTGCACCCTCCTGCCTGCCTGCATGTAATCATCTGTGCGTGGCTGTCTGACGGGGGCTTGGAGCTAAACTCAACCTTTTCTGTGTCCATGAGAACAGCACGTACGGCTGCACGGCTTCTGGCTTTTCTGGTTAAGAGTCTTTTTTTTTTTAAATGTCCTGTATTAAAAAGTCATTTGTTGCGCTGCAGGGACCAGTTCGGCTCGCCCTCGGTCACAACTCTGGGAGCCGGTAAGGTGATTCTGGGTCTGGAGGAAGGTCTGAAGGGCATGTGTGTGGGCGAGAGGAGAGAGGTGGTGATTCCTCCACACTGGGCTCACRGCGAAAACGGAGGTGAGTTTCAGGAACTAGTGGACGGATTTTAATGAATGTTTTCAGAAATTAATCACTGTAGATTAACATTTAGTCTGACTAATTCAAGATGGCCGCCACAGCTAACTGACATTAGCAAACTMAAAAATGAAAACTGAATCTTACCAAAGGACTAAGTAACCTTTCAAAGCTCCGTTTATTTAAAGCAGGGTTGGGCAATCCTGGTCCTGGAGGGCCGCAGCCCTACAGGCTTTACTTTTTCCTCTGCTCCAACACACCTGATTCACTCACTGAATTACCTCCTCCAAGTTCGGCAGTATGGAGGACCGAAACTGACCAACAAATACAGTAG